TAGGAATCAAATATAAGATCTGTCATTTAGAGAACTCTTAGAAATGAACAAAAGCATAAAGCCTGAGTTAGAACATGGAGAAGTAAGCAGATACAAAAAGAAACATGAAGTGGAAAACTCCTGTCCACACAAAACTGGCACATAAATCAACTTTATTCATAGTCGCCCAGGCTTAGAAGCAGCCAAGGCCCCGTCAGCAGGTAAGTGGATAAACACGCTGGTGGTTGTGCAGTGGAATATGATGCAGCGGTAAAAATGCCCTGTCGCACTGTGGAGCGGTGTGGAGGAGCCCCCATAGCGGATTGCTGGTGCAGGTGGCCCCCACAAAGGCCAAGGCCGCACACCACCCAGGCAGGAAGGGACCAGGGTGTGTGTGGGCGCGGGAGGGGCGGACAGGCTCAGCGCCAGGGTTGCTAGGGCAGTGGAACTCCCGCGTGGTACGGTATCTGAAAATCCATCTTCTCGGGAAGATACATTAATGAGCATTCACAAATGTATAAAGATATTGTGTGTGTGTGGCATTATTTGTAAAACAAAAAAGAGACCTCTTAAGTGTTAATAGGAAATTAAATCAATATACAGCTATATCTTGCAGCTGCTGAAAAAGACCTTACAAGATGCTTAATAAATATTCGCTGATATTATTCCTGTTATCTTTAACAAAGAAGATGGCCATGCCCGGCCAGTGTGCTCAGTGGATTGAGCACCGTGGATTGTGCGTTGTCCCATGAACCAGGAGGTCACCAGTTGATTCCCGGTGACGGCACGTGCCCGAGTCCCAGTAGGGGGCGTGCAGGAGGCAGCTGATTGATATTTCTCTCTCAACAATGATTCTGTCTCTCTCTCCCTTCCTCTCTGAAATCAATTAAAAAAAAAAAAAAAGCTAAAAAATAAGGAAAAGCCCTAACCGGTTTGGCTCAGTGGATAGAGCATCAGCCTGTGGACTCAAGGGTCCCAGGTTCGATTCCGGTCAAGGGCATGTACCTTGGTTGTGGGCACTTCCCCAGTAGGGGGTGTGCAGGAGGCAGCTGATCGATGTTTCTCTCTCATCAGTGTTTCTAACTCTCTATCCCTCTCCCTTCCTCTCTGTAAAAAATCAATAAAATATATTTTTAAAAAAATAAGGAAAAGAAATATGGCCATGATACCTGTTACGTTAGTCCAGCCATTCATCAGAGAAAGAGGGAGTTCTCACATGTCACAATCAACAGTGGTACACAAATAAGGATGACATAACAGGCTTAATTGCTTCTCCTCTGAATCTCATTTTTCCTGTGACCGTAATAAAATAAGCTTTGCAGTAATAGCATTTGAGGATCATTATTCAGCAAAGTAGCATATTAAAAACATCCCTAACGATAACTGTTGAATTCTGGTTTATTGACATTTTCATTTCACTTTATGTATTGCATTTTTTACTTGCATGATGATGGCATCTCGATGATGCTGGATGGACAGCACATGGGGAGGCAGCCTGTGTCCGCCCGGCTGTGCAAATCGTTTCACTGGACCATGGCCACACCCCTCACGGACATGTGGTCTGAGGCTGCTTTCCTGCTGCCATGGGAGAATTGGATGGTGACCGAGACCATGGGGCCAAAAGCTAAAATATTTACTATTAAATATTAGACCCTTTAAGTAAGTTTGCCAGCTCCTGATGTATATAGGGTGTCCCCTGAAATGTATATGCACACTGAGTAGTTACAAAAGTGGTGTTTATAAACATACATTTCATTTTCAAAATTGAGCTCAGCTGTTAAGGTCTGTTCACACTTGTTGGAGGACACTCTGCATGTGGAGATGCCTAAACAAAGATGGAGAATTTGCCCCTTTTTATGACCATGTAGTACTCAAACCTGATTTTTTCTCTTTCTAGAGGCCTTGGCATGAATATGAGCACAACTTTCAGATCATGTATAAAGTGGGCATGGGGCACAAGCCCCCGATCCCTGAGCGGCTGAGCCTGGAGGGAAAGGACTTCCTCTCCCACTGCCTGGAGAGCGAGCCGCGGCTGCGCTGGACGGCCAGCCAGCTCCTCGACCACTCCTTCGTCAAGGTGCGCTGGCCCCGCGGCTCCCCATGCGGCTCCCGTTCTGCCTGCAGCTGGCTCTTAAATAGGAAATGTCTACATCTGATGGAAGGGGGCGTTCAGTTATGCCTGGGAATTCTGTGTATGGCTTTTTCTGGAACGTGTTCATGTGGTTCTCCTGCTTGATCCATTTTGGTGGTGGTAGAGGTGCCCTTGGACTGGGAAGGGTGCTGGAGCTGGGTGGGTGACAGTGCTCCCTGCTGGGCGTGTGGTCTGCTGAGAACAGGTTAGCAGCGACTGGCCTCACTGAGGAGTAGAGGCTCGAGCAACGCGGACGTCCGCGCTGTGGTCACGGTGTGGCACTGTGGTCGGGTCAGGTCATCCCGGGCGTCCCTCTAGCACGCGGTGTGAGCTGCTTGGGAAGGTCTGGCCAGGCCCTCTGGTTCCTTAACCTCGCTCACCCTGGGCAGCTCTGGAATGGGGGGGCGGGGGTGGTGGCAGACGGAGGGGGAGAGGCAGGGCAGGCACACTGCTAGGAGGGAAGAACTGCCAGGAACTGTGGGGAGGTGAGTGGGTGCTGACAGCACAGGATGTGGACAGCACAGCGGGGCAGGGCCGAGGAGGAATGGCAGCTCATCGCCAGTGTGACCTACTGAACAGTGAGCGAGAGGCTGGTCAGGGAGCTGCTGGTAGGGCTCACGGGTTGGGCGTGGAGGTCAGGTGTTATCAGCGAAGTTGGAGCTAAAACAGCCATGAAAACTCCCTGAGTGTGACGGTGAGTGCAGGGAAGGAGCTAGGGTGGCTCTCAGACTGGGCTGGGTCCCAGGGGTAGGAACTCACCAGGGTCGGGACAGAGGCTGCTGCTGAGGTCAGGGAGGTGATGGCTGCTGTTGGGAGATGAGGTTTGAGGTGTGTGGGAGCACCTACTTGGGGATTCAGTGAGGCCTTGGGTATTTGGAGCTGGCACCCGAGAGAATGGGGACAGATGGTGCTGGGAGAGCGCTGAGGGAGGGATGGAGCCCAGGAGGAAGCCAGGGAGGGCCTGCCCACCAGGGAGCTTCTGACGCAGAGGGAGGTGCCTCGGTGCCCTCCTCCTCGGGGTGAACGAGGCTAAGGACCCACAGGTGCCCCGGTGAACAAGGCTAAGGACCCATAGGTGCCCTCCTCGGGGTGAGCGAGGCTAAGGAACCGGAGCTGGGCCTGCTGTTGGGCTTTGTAACTAAAGAATGTGCTGCTTCACTGAGACGTGTAGAACCGCCCCGGCTGACCTGCTGTAAGCGCGTCCTTCGGAGCGGTCAGTGGTCAGTCCTGGAGCAGTGACAGCACCCGGTCCCTGTGCCCGGAGCCCCCCTCACTAGGTGCCGCGGGGCACGGGACGCGTCTGCCTGTGGTCTCGTTGGAACACGCTGGGCTCAGCTCTCTCCTGCCTTCCTGCAGGTTTGCACCGATGAGGAATGACGCGAAGCCGCCGTGGCTGGTGTGCGCTCGGAAGACGTCATCGCTACTGTATGTAACATTTACATGAAGGCTGTGCTGGAAGAGCGCGGCCTCCGCCTCCAGGCTGGGCTGCTCCTGCGGGTCGACCCGGCGCGGGGCCTCCTGAGTGACAGTGTCCACGAGGAAAGAAGCTCCATGTTAAGTGCCATTTCTACTGTACACGACCGCCGCCTCGTCACCGCTCTTCGGGGACGGACCCTGGCCGTCTGTAGTGCGCTGACCGCCCAGGTTCCGAGCAGGTCGCGGTCCCCGGTCCTGGCGGTCCTGGCCTGTTCTCGTCTGTCGAGTGCACTGACTGTGAACCTGCCCTGTGGGCGGCGGCGGCCACAGGTCTGTCAGCAAAAGGCTGATGAATGAAATTGAAGAAAAAGGCTCTTTTTTCAATAAATGGTTTATTTTAGGAAAGCGCAGCTGCCTTATCTTTTATAAGCTGGTCAGCCTCAGGGCCAGTGAGCCCTGGCACGGGGCTCGCTCAGCCCGTGTCCCTGGGCAGGCGGTGGGCACCGCGGGGTCCTGCAGGCTCCGAGCCTCGGCCGGGTGGAGAGGGAGCGGGTCTGAGACCGTCTTGCATCCACCAGCGAGCTGCGCCTGCACGTGGGGAGGTCCAGCGGGCACCTGGAGGCGGGGCTAACGGCCGGGGCGCAGAGCAGTGCCTCTGCCCCCCCCCCCGCCCCTCCTCCCTCATCTTACCATCCGAGTGATTGGGAAGCCCCTGCACCCGCAGTCTGATTTGCTGGGGGACCAGCCAGAAGCCAGGGCTGCCAGGCCCTTTCTGTGTCCATTACATCACCTGCTGCTGGACTCGCCTGCACAATTGTCCCAGGATTTTACGTCCAAGTCCCTGTTTTCAGATCCACTTATGACTGTATTTAAAACACACTAATGTGTTTTTTTAATTTTTGAAACATCAGTAGCTACTTTTACAAGGTTTTGCATGCATTTGTTTAGAGAATACAGCGGCCAAGAGCTGTTCCAGCATGACTGCTCTTATGAACAGGTGTATTCTCTCTGCAGACGTAAACTAGGGATAGACTAGCCCAGTGGTCAGCAAACTGCGGCCCCTTGAGTGTGGCTCTTCCACAAAATACCACGTGCGGGTGCACACGTACAGTGCGGTTGAAACTTCGTGGCCACACTCAAGGGGCCAAAGAGCCGCATGTGGCTCGCAAGCCGCAGTTTGCCGACCACTGGACTAGCCCACAGGTGCGCAGCTCCGTGCTCCCAGGCGGACGCTTGCCCGTCTCAGGTGGCTGGTGTTTTGAATGAAGTCACTAGACTAGAGGAAGTGCCTGAAACTCCCTGCCCCCAAGCTGCATTGCTCTCCCGTCGCAGTCACACTGTGTGCTGGTCTCTGCCTCACTGGGTGTCCGCAGGGCTGACCTGAGCTGAGAAATGGTTAGACACCGTGTCTGCCTGACCGTGTGGAAGGATGGAGGGGTCTGTGTACGCACCACAGAGGAACCAAACACTTGAATGCTTTTTTTGGAGGCATAATTTAATCATCTTCCCTACAGCGCCTTGGCTCTACCTGGCAATCGGCTACAGAAAACAGCACCAAAGGATGAAAGGGCCTCCCCTCCCTGCCCTCCCCCTGCACCAGACACCGCGGCACGATCACAGGACAGGGCTGGCAGGCAGCCTCGCACCCTCACCTCGTGTTCTCCCGCACGCACGCACGCACGCACTCACAGGGAAAGAGAGAACCGGAACCCACTACTGCACACGGGGAGGACGGATCAAAGCGCGTCTTCTGCCCCATCCAGCGGCCTGGAGAACAGGCCCTGCCTCCCAGCAGGGACTCCCCCAGCGCCCTCGCTGGGTGGCACCGGGAGGGACAGATAGCGCCCACCCGCTCCCCAAGGTCCACTCTGGATGGAGCGTGTCCTGAGTCAGTCCCTCTGTTTCTGCTTGCTGTCCATGTTGCCGTAGGTGGAGCCTTTGTCGATCTCCGTCACGCCAATCATCCATCGGACCCCCATGGAAGCTGCAGGGGAAGGGAAGGGTGTGAGGAGGCTGCGGGGACTCCGCCGCTGTCCGCACACCTGTTGGCACCAGCAGAGCTGACTGGTCTGGGTGCCATCCATCCTCCAGGCCTCGTTCCCCGGGAGTGCGGGCACGGCGCCGGCTGGACCAAGCGCCACAAAGGGACGGCCGGGCTGTGTTGGCCGAGGGTCTGAGCCTCCACATGAGATCAGAATGGCAAGCCTGGCCCGCTGCACGTGGGCTTACGGAAGGCACAAGAGTCTGGTGACTCAGGGTGGGACTTGGGGGCACCCTTCAGGGGAGCTTAGTAAGGCCCATACTGGAGCCTGGAGAATGGGAGCTGCCAGGCACCTCCCCATTGCCTGGGGGCAAGTATTAAGCTGAGAACAGGCAGAGTTGCCTCTCTCCCCCCAAAGCTTATCCTCGGCCGCAGGACTGGCCCACAGAGGAAGTGGAGGAGCTCAGGGGAGCCTGTGTCCAAGGGAGCTGGGAGCCGGGACCAGGCTGTCCCGCCCAGAGGCCGTGTCCCTGCGCCTGAGGCAGCACGCCTCCCTAACCCTGGGGCTCGGTGGATGGGGCCTGGAGTCGCGTTTTCCCTGGCGGCCTGCAGGCTGTGCCCCTCAAGCACCCCACACCCGCTGAGCTGTCCCCCCTCGACCTGCACCGCCAGCCACTTACCCACAAAGAAGACGAGGACAAAGCCGGCCAGCGTCAGGGAGGACCCGCTGCTGACCATGCTGACGAGGAAGCGGAAGAAGGGGTAGAGCAGCAGCGAGGCCCAGAAGAGCCAGTTGAGCAGCGTCCAGGGCCGCCTGGAGGGCACCATGGGCGTCTCCGGGAAGGTGCCCGTCCGGTAGTACTCCTCCTGGAAGGCGTCCTGGGGACAGAGAGGGACCTGAGTGCTCTGCTGACACCTGCGGCTCCTGCAGGCCCCCGAGGCCCGCTCCCAGGGGCCCGTGGGCGCACGGGCTGGGGGTCAGCACCCCACAGAAGGCTCCTGCAGGCACCTAATGGGCCGTCCCCTCCCACGGTGCCACCTGGAGCTCGTCACCGAGTCCAGGCCGGCCCACGTCCGTCCTGCTCTGCTCCCTGCTGCCTACCCGACCAGGGTAGGTGACCAGGCTGCGGCCCCGGCCGCTGGGCAGGAATGCCATCCTCACGGGTGGGTGGGGAAGGAGAACCGGCCCTCGGTGACCCCTGGAAGAGGGTGGGGTGCCGGCCTGTGTCCCGCCCCGGGAGCCGCAGCCCCGACCCAGGTCGCCCACTGCACCTCGCCTTCCTGCTTGGGGCTCCCACGGGCGCGGAGGAGAGACCCCGAGGGAGGCCCAGGGGAGGACGGTGCCCAGGCCGGCACCGCGGCTTTGCTGCTGGGCCTCCCTCCTCCCTCAGCGTCTAGTGACTCTGTGACTCCAGACACCACCAAGGCCACAGGCTCCTGCGGGCCTTGGGCAGATGCCCATCGGACGGCCCCCCGGGACCAACGCCAGGAGTTCCGAGCGTCCGCGTCCCAACGCCCCGCTGTGCGTGCAGCCTGGAGCGGGCCCGGCGGGGCCCCACGGGCTGTGCCTGCAGGTGAGCGAGCAGCGCACCCAGAGCCACAGCTGAGAGCAGGACTGAGGGTCCGGGCGCCGCCACCCAGGGTGCTCGCAGCCCGGGAGAGCGAGGGCCAGCAACAACCTCGGCTCGGCGCCCCACAACCACGGGGTCCGCCCGCAGCTCGTCCAATGTCCTCGGGCCCCGGGCTGGCACGGTGGTGCCCGCGCCCGCCTGCCCTGGAAGTCCCGGTTCGCTAAGAGCCGAGGCTTCTGCGAGACGCTTCCCTCGACCTCAGGACCTGGGTTTTTCCTTTAATGACTCGAGACAGCGATGGCTGAGGGGTATGGTACTCTCTCCTTCCCCAGTCGGGGTGCGGCATCAGGGGCGATGTGTCCTTCACCACTCAGCGTCATTGTGGGGGA